CACCATGCGTCTCCCGCGCGCAGGGCAACTTTTCTGGGCTCTGTATGGGGTCTCCGCTGAAGGCCCCAGTGGCTGCACTCGTATGCGGCTCCCCCACCCAGGATTGCGTTTCGTGGCGCCATAGGGGCTGCTACCGAGAGCCCCAACGGCTGCGGTAGCATGGGGTCCCCCCGCTAAGGCTGGCGTTTCGTAGCCCGAAAAAGCTCCACCTAGAGCCCGAGCGGCTGCGCTCGCATGCGATCCCCTCCGTCCAGGATTGCATTTATTGGCCCCGTCGGGAGCTCTGCCGAAAACCGCAGTGGCTGCATTCGCAGGCGCGCCCCCACCCACGACCGCAATTCGTGGCCCCATGGGGAGCCCCACCGAAGGCCTTGGTGGCTGCATTCGCATGCGGTTCCACCACGCAGGACAGCGCTACGTGGCCCCATGTATGGGCTCCACCGAACGTTCCGGTGGCTGCGATCCAGGACAGCGCTTCGTGGCCCCATTGGGGGCCCCGCAGAAGGCCCCTGTGGCTGCACGCGTCGCATGCGGTTCCAGCACTCACGCCGGCGTTTCGTGACCTCATCGGGAGTTCCGCCGAAGGCCCATGTGGCCGGACATGCATGCGGCTCCCTCTGCCCAGGACAGCGCTTCGTGGTCCCGTCGGGAGCTCCGACGAGGCCCCAGCGGCTGCACTCGCAGGCGGTTGCCTCCGCCCAGGATCGCGTTTCTCTCGGCGCACAGGAACCCGACACCAACACCAAGAAGCCATTAGAAAAGAAAACATTGCAGCCTCTGTTGAATGCCGTCGCCCGTGTCTTCGGGTTCGCGTGTCCAGAGTTGATGAATGCCAGCTCTGAGCGCGTGGGAACATAACGGGCCGTCCCCAGTTCCCCAGGTGAGCGTTCGGATTTCCATGGGCCGCGCGAGTCCCGCGGGCCGTGCGAACCCAGCCAGCCCCATGAACCCCACAAGTTCCACAAAGGGCTTCATGTGCCGAACGTGCGCCGCAGCGCGCATAAGCCCAACGCGCCGCGCTGGCCCAGCATGCCGCGCGGGCACCATTGGCTCCCTGACTCGCCAGGGCCACACCTGGTTTCTGAGCCTTGGAAACCCCGCGGGCCATGGGGGCCCCGTGGGCCTCAGGGGCGCCATGAGCTGCATGGGGCGTTTCCCTATCATGGAAGCACCATGGCTTGCAAAGTCGGAGAGCAAAGCGAGCCATCTCAAGCTTTCTTGGCTTCGTTGGGTCGCTC